GCGTAGTGTTCAGAGGTTGGAGGCACTACCAGGAGACAGGCCAGTACATCAGTAGACATTAGGGATGTAAATCACATCCATCATGGCGATTTGATTCAGTATCGATTTCCTGACCCAACGATTCGATTATTTTCGATACTCAAAAATACATCACGATACGATTCGATTATTTGGTTAATATTGTGTTGGAAAAAAAAATTAATCGATACTCTTGCGGACGTATCGATGCATCGTATCGTCGGCTGTTGGATCAATGCATCGATACAAAACGGTTATTATTTACACCCCTAGTAGACATGGAGGAGGCCGTAGGAGGGCAACAACCCAGCAGCAGGACAGCTACCTCTTCCTTTGTACAAGGAGGAACAGGAGGAGCACTGCCAGAGCCCTGCAAAATGACCTCCAGCACGCCACAAATGTGCATGTGTCTGCACAAATGGTTAGAAACTGAGGGCCTGCGTTAGTGATGGCGAAATGAAGCTTCATAAAGCACTGAACCGTTCCATCCAATTGGTTCGCTCATTTGCAAAAGCTTCGAGGTGTTTCATTTGCTCTATTGTGCCATAAGGTGGACAATAAATGTAAAACGCCCAGTGTGATTATAATGACACTATGGCTTTGGTGTCTGAAGCATTGAATAGATTTATGATGCTTACACATAAATTATAAACTTTTATATGGTGTCTGTCATCATGTGATACAATGACACGGTCAGCATTTTATTCATTTTTATTTTGGTCCAAAAGCAACTTTCAAAAGCCAAGTCTGGGCCCTGAACCAATAACCTTTGGACAGAAAGGCAAACTCCTACTGTCACTTTCAGAAAATAGTAATACTGAATACTTATAATACAGCTGAAACCAATTGCTTGGTTAATTTTTGATCATTAGATTGTTTAATCTAACCAAAACTGTTTTAACCAACTGGATTGGTTATTTTTCCAATCAATCTATTCTCCTCCCCTACATGAAACACCCCCTTCACTACTCGACACACGCCTCGAAGCATCGGCTCATCTCATAACATCACTGCCTGACATCCAAAGATGGGGGTTGTGTACAAAGCCCAAACGTGAGCAGGATGCTTGGCATTTGCCAGAGAACACCAGGAAAGTGGGTAGAAACATCTCCTTATGTCCATAAAGAATCATGAAACGCTAAGAAGAAACTAAATTAAAAAAGTCACAGAAAGAGAAACTCTTTGGATATAGATTTGAGCAAACTACAGAAGAGTAATGTGTGCTATTTTTTCTACATTTTACAGGAAAATTTAGTGAAAGGTTAACATGTAGGCAGCCCTAACCTCCAGCAAACTGATTCCTTTGTTGGTTTGTTTTAACATTGGTTTAAATAAACTCATCATGCTTCATCGTCTTCATTTCCTTTCATTTTTCAGCTCGATAGCTTACAATAAATCCAATAAAGAAGTGGTCATCTTACGATCCTCTTTAGAATAAACTGGGATTGAAATAAAGCGATAAGGAGCATAAATGAAAACAATTCATAATGGGTTAGCTCATTTCCTGAGTGTCTAATCTCACCAATCACCATCTGCTGTAGGTGATGTCATGATATGATTGGCCCAAACGGCAGCATCCACTGCTATCGGCTGAAATAACAACCCACACAAACCCAGGCACATGTCAGCTCCCACACACAGCATCAGGAGTTATCTTCAAACATAAAGCCTCATCGATCAGAAGTGCTCTCCCAGGGGAATTACATCATTGCTCAGCAAATAGCCAATCAGATTTGGGCTGAGATCGCCCGCTCGGTGACCCTATCTGCTATAATAGTAAAGGCAGCAACAATGAAGCTCACGCTAATTCCAGTCACTTCAGAAGGTAGTATTGATATTTCTCTGAGGTAATGCTTCCACCCAAGCTGGAGCTGTATAATCTAAAAGATGTGGGGCATTCTTACAAGAGGAATAGTGAAGAAAATCAGCCCCAACTCTGAATTATTGTTTGCTTGAATTGCTATTTTAAGGCATGCTAGATTGCTTTCCTCCATCTGCTCTCTTACACTAGATCCAGCTCAAAGTGTCAGATGTTTAGTTATTTCTCTGCCTTCCTTAGCAATAATCATCCTCGCAATAAATGCAGGCTTATCTGTGAACTGCTGTGAAGCTTACTGAATTGGCTGCAGCAGCCAGCCATGCTGCCAGAGAGACAGAGCATAGCCTCAAACGCAAGCCTTGGATTTAGGATTCAAATCAGTTTCCCTCTTAAACAGTTGGTGTCATATCAGCCTATGAGTAAATTAAAAATGTCCCTCTTTATTTTAGTCTCTTGAATTAAAATTGGATTCTGCAATTTGAAATTAGATTGCTTTTATATTTTATCTATGTTTTAAATGTGAGCATCATCCTGCACTAGTAAATAGGAGCTTACATAATATTTTATTTTATAGCTATTCCAGTTACAGTAATTATCACAGACTTCATCTGGCAGGCACAGAAATATATAAGAAAAGAACAGGACCAATTACTTTTCCTGTTCCTTAAATCTGATATGGTAGCAAAATTAAGATTTTCTAAATTAATCCAAATACCCATTTTAACATCATAAAGTCAACAACCTCTTTATTGAATTTTCAATAAAAGAAAACAGAGGTTAACAAGAGTTATTAACATAGGTACTATGCAGAGATGAGTGTAAGATCAAACTGAAGGCTAAGGTAACAGAGCAAAACAAACAAACAAAAACAAAGATCCAATCAGATCCCAGCAACAACAAAAGGTGACAGTAATGGCGTGTCTTCATGGGAACAACAAATTACAATGATCCAGTACTGAATGTCAACTTCTTTTATCTTTCTTCATCTCTGGCAACCAAAACAGAAATTGATGGTAGAATCATTGGAGGTTAAAAAAATACCTTAGGAAGAGACTCTAATTTATTTTTAGACCCGTCAGCTTGGTTCTTGACAGAGTACCTGATCTTTTCCAAGCTAAGACAAGACCTTTTGTCAGCTACTCATTGGGTGTCGACTACTCGTCCATCTGAGCAAAATAAGACAACTAGCAAGGACTGACATGAAAGGCAGCATGTGGTGAATCTCAGAGGAGACTTCATGGCTTCCTGAGTAAATACTGAGTGAGGCAAGAAGATGGTTAGGAGCAATATCTACCTCAGAGAGTGTGGAGAGAGCTTGGAAGACTTTCTGCCCGAGCAAGTCCAGAATGACCTTATAAAGTGCCTGATTACATAAAGGGTCCAAGTCTGGTTAAATATAAGAGCGACGAGAGCAGAATGACATGAGATTAACAAGCCCCAGAATTGAATCCAATATGTTATTGGAGAGACGCTGGTTCCTGTTCCAAAGCTGCCCTGATCCCTGCTGTGGACGCTGGGTTCGTGTCTATTAGCATATCGTAGATTTTTAAGATCAGATCTCTTCCAGATGGCTGCAAATTAAGAATATCATCCATTACAGACCGCAAACCCCGATAGCTGACTTTGGAGAAATGACAAATTTGTAGGTATTTTTAAAAAAATGGGTTCTTGGGGTGCTGAATTTAATGCAGGGATTAGAATGAAGAGCAACAAATCATCAGCATGAACTGCCAGTTGGTGTTCATGGTTCATTTCTCGATGAATCACTATGGAATAATATTGCAAGAGATCCAATTACGATGTTGAATTACAGTGTTGGGCACGTTACTTTGAAAAGTAATTAGTTACTAGTTACTTCACCCAAAAGGTAACTGAGTTACTAACCGAGTTACTCCACAGTAAAACTAACTAGTTACTAGTAAAAGTAACTATTGTGTTACTTTTGCGTTTCTCACCCTCGCCACCCGGCCCCCACCTTCTCACCGTGTGTTTCCAAAGCCAGCTGAATAGAGCGGACGACAAAGACAAGAACCTGCAGAGAGTTTTGCATTTATTGCAACTCAACGTAAATGACATCAGGGGGGAACGGTATCCGACAGGCCTATAAACCGCGTTAGATAGCGTTCCCCCTGCTTAACATGGGGGGAACGGTATCTGATGCGGTGTAAATATCATCAGGCTGCATTACCTCTACTCATGGGTGTTAAGTTTTTTTAACAGGGCGTTCAGATCTGGTGAGTGTATGAAATTAATAACTGGGGATGTCTAATTCTGAAATCCTGTGTGTTTGGGTTGTCATAGATACTGTCACATCCATCCATCCAGATTCTCCCTTTCTCCATATAGGCTAACATTTGATCGTTCACGCTCTCCATAGTTCCCCTGTGAAGCGAGCACAGGGCGGCTGTTACGCGCCTTTAGCGAGCATGCGCATTTCCTTTCGCTTGCGCGGTGAATCGTGCCACCTGCGCTGTGCGGAGATGCAGGGGAAACCGTATCTGATGGGGAAACGCAGCTCGACGTAGCACCGGTATTTCCATCTGGAAAACGCTGTTTTGCTGCTGGAGTCCTCCTCACTCTCCAACTCTCTGTGTGTGCTGTACGTTAACAGCCGCCAGCAGAAACGCCCACCTACCCAACTGACAGACGTAATCTTACTATACATCAGCCAATCTCACCCCCCCCTCTCTCGTGAGTCCTATCATGAACAAAAGGTTAATTGTGCGACCTGAGTAACGTGCAGTAATGGGGTGTTGGCAATGGTAACTGCGTTATAGTTCCAGTAAGAGTGATTAGTTAGATTACTTGTTACTAAAAAAAAAAAGGTAACGGAGTTAGTAACGCCATTACTTTAAACGCCGTTACTCCCATCACTGTTGCATTATAAGGGGCTTAACTGGCATTATTGATGTGTTCCTCTCTGTAAATGTAATTTTTTTTTTACTTTAAATAGACCCAATTAAAAGCTTTTTCTCCATTGAGGGGGGAGAGGATCCATTCTGGTACTTTGAGGAAGTGTGTTGTATGCCAAGTGAGTGACATAAGTTAAAAAAGGAATGGTGATTTTTAAATAACCCCTGTTTGATCTTTGTGAATGATTGAAGGAAAGAAAATTATTTTTTAATTGTAATCTCCAATAAATCTCATGTTTGCTTCAGCATACCTTGATGTAGCCACCAGTCGAAACGAGCACAGAGTTGTTCGGGGAGAAGTGCAGATCAGTCACCCAACCGCCATGGAGAGAATCCGTGCCGTCTTTACTTTCCTGGGCACAGACCTTCAGTAGAGAGCCATCTTCGACCCTCCAGATCTGCGGTGAACAAAAATGATCACATATAACCACAAACTTCAGGCAGCCTTTCGTCAAATTTTTAATATCATATATATAATATATTTTATTTTATGTTACTTTTTTATATATTTTTTTACTATTTTTCAAGATTGCACTTTTAAAGAAATGAAATTGTCAAGAGGGCTGTTCTAAACGACATTTCTTTTTGTTTTACACTTGTGTAAACAAAATGACAAATCTGTCTAAGTCTAAACATATTTAACTTCCTATGTTTGAATAGAATGAAAAAATAAAAACATCTAATGAAATAAATATGGTGAAACTTTGTTAGACTGCAGCAGTTATGACAGAATAGAGCTGTTTCTGTTATGCATTACTGTAAAAATGTGAAATTCGAACATTGTAGATAGAATTAAAATTTACAGGACAAATACTGGTGAAAGTTCTTGTGTGTGATTTTCTATAAATCAAACAAACAAAAATGTAAAAACAGGTGTTTAATCAAACTTTCTTCCATTTATTATCCATCACTGTAAGAGATCCAGTTTTCTCCATTATTGGCTAAATGCTTTGGTGTCTAAAAAGAGCTACTGTGAGGGGCAGCTTAGCAGTCTGATAGTAGGATTCTGGTCATTTGGATCAGAGCAGAGATAATTTCTCATCGTTTCCCCACCTTTACTCTGCCAAAAGCAAGTTGCTTATAATTATGTGAGCACATCACATTTAAATAGCTCATTGATCCCAAGCAGCAAGCAAACAGAATTGATCCTAGCACCATGCAGCTGACGGCACTTTACCAGGTGAGTTCTTACAGCATGTTTGTCAGCAGGAATCTAGCATCAAGAATAAAGGAAGCCTCCAGGTATCCACAATTGCTACTTGCATTTGCAGGTCATTAGTTTTGATCCAATACTGTCCATACCCAGCGCTTGAAGCGGTTTAAGGTCTTTAATAGTGAGCAAAGGTTTTTGTTTTAGCAATCATGGAAGGAAATTTAACTGTAGTGACCATGACATTATTAATCCATGATTTTATTATTATTATCATTTTTTTTTTGGATCCAAATCTTTAAATAAAGTTTTAACTAGTCTAATAAAAACTTCTCCAGACGTTCTAGTGGATCTTTTAGAAATTGATGTTTCACTTAAAGGTATAAAGGACAATGTTTTATTTCCGGCTGGATCTTTAAATAAGCGCTCCTCCTAATTGTCAATCATTCGGGTGATATGTTTATGTAAGGCCGCCCTAGGTGCTCGCTCCGTTAGCTATCTTTTTCTGCGCATGCACACTTTCAGGCATATATCTGTGGTGAGCTACGGTTTCAGACAGTAATTTAAGCTCACCTTTCTCGGCACGGTTCTTTAAAAATGGCCGGGGGTCGTTAGAGAAAAAGTGTCTACGAAGTGTATGAGAAGAAAAAAAGGCCTCAGATGAGGCAGATATATCCCAGAATGCTTTGCACGGAGAGCTCTCCTTGCAAAGCATTATGGGATTTGCTGTCACAGCGGCCCTCTGATGCCATAGGCTGTAGCTACCCGACAGCTGCGACTAATAACAAACATGGCAAAAAGCAGTGATCATCTGTCTGAACGGTCAGTTTGCTATAGAGTCCACTATATAGTGTCTGCTGTATGTGGACACAGTAAGTTTATATGATCTGTGAAAACAGCACATTTTAAACAGGGTGTGCACAAGGAGAAATGCGCTTGTGCATGCTCTTGCACAGGCATTTTTTTAAAGCGTAGAGGGCAGGTCTTTTTAAAAAAGGATCTACCATACTTTTAATTCCTTGCAAAACTTTTTCTACAGTGATGATAATCTCTAAATAGTTAGCATACCCTATATTTATCTAAAAACATCCAACCAAAACATTTGAATGTCAATCATGCATAGAGGCCTGTTTACAAAACAAAACGAAGAAAACAAATTAGAAATATAGAGATATAGCCATGTTTTGGTTCAGATCAGTCTTGTTTGTTTCCAGAGAAACAAGTGGAGAATTTAATGAATTTCATTTTAGTGGACCTGCCAGTTTAAGTCATTTCCAAAAAAGATAACTTTTCAAATTATTGGCCAACACAGAGAATAACACCATTTTCTGTTGCAGCCCGACTTCTCATTGTCTTCTGTTACATTGTGGTTTGTTTGGGGGTTTTTTTTGCACATCAGGATTGCAGAGCTTTAAAGATCCAATTTAGGTTCTCCTTCTCTCACCGTCAAACATCTCATCCTTCTCATGCACTCCCTCAGCTTCATAGTTTGCACCTCCTTGTGAAAGGAACCCTGCCTTCTGCCTTTCATCTCAACCCCTCCCTGTGTGCATGCACTGCAGTGATCACCATGTATTAGTAAGCACTTTCCCTAAATGAGTGATGACATGTAATTAGAGGAGGATTTCTGGGAATGAATGTTGACTGCTTTAATTACTTTTTGTATTACGAACAGAAAATTAGAAGGTTTGAGGCACTGTCACTGCATTCGGTCTGCACTGGGTGACGATAATAAAAAGAACAAAAACAACCAGGCAATCCTAATTTAGCACAATGCAAACTGCTTCAACAAAGGGATGGTTGGATTTTACGAGCACACACCCGGATCTCTCCGTTGTCGTCTCCTGTAGCAAGGCGTTTGCTATCCCAAGAGAAGCGGCAGCTTCGGACACACTCATGATGACCTCTCAGGGTGAAGACGCACTGCCAGGACTCGCAGCTCCACAACTAAGGATCAGATGAAAATCAAAGTCAATTATGCTGAGGGAATAAACCTTTTAAGATTAGATCTAAACAAAATTATCATAAATGTATCCAAGTAAAACTAAAAAGAGTTACAACATGCTACATAATGATGAGATCTGAAAACTTGTTTAAAATTAAAACATGTTGAGGACTCAAAAGATAAACTGTGAGCCATCTGCATTGTATAAACATAATTACGGCATTGTTTGCTTATACAGTAGCAACCTGGTAAACCTTGTACAGATTGCTTTATGGTGCTACAGCTTTTGTGTTTAAAATCTTCCCCTCGTCATTCGTCCTTTTTCTACCTCCTTCACCATCTTTGCACATTGCATAACAAATAACCCAACCGCTAATTATGCACTTCATTTGGCAAACATAACTGCAAACAAAACTAGGGGAAAGGGAGCAGAGCATAAGAAAAGAACACAACAGAGCGCTCTGTGATGCCTCTGAAAGACTTTCAAGACTACACTTTTTGGTTTGACCTCCAGACAGATGGAAACCAGGGACATTGGCGGTTGTGTGTTCTTTGTTTTTATGAGCCAGCAATGCCCCCACCTCGGTCTGGAGAGCAAAGACTATGTGGCTGGCTGCTGACCAGCCTGATAAACACACAAACCTCAATTATGATCTTTGCCAAATCCATAAAAAACACAAAGTCGCTGTGAGAATCAGGGTTGGCGAGCAACCAAATCTGAATTCCCACGTGAAACTTGCGAGCAGTGGCTCCTGATTGAGTTATTTAACAAAAGGTGGAAGATTGGCTTGGAATTGGTGTTGGTGCTGGAATGAAGACAAAAGAACAAAAAAACAAGGATTGCATAACTGATGAAGACCCCAAAGCAACAGCTATAATCCCAGTCCTGGATGATTCGTGATGTACAAAGCCAATATTAATTCAACTCTTCCAAACAAACACAGTGCAGCTACTCTAAAAAAAGATGCACTGAAAAAAAATCTTAATTATTTTTCCCATCAACAGTCATTCACAAAGCACGGATGAAATGACTTGCCTAGATCTGAAAGCACAGGGTTATAACCAAATACAAAATCTAAGCTTATTAAGTCAAAGTCAGCCCAAAGTCAGGCCTACTGGTGTTGGTACATAGTCATTTGGCAAAGGCTTCATCCAGAGAGGGCGATGGGTCAGCTGAGGGCAGCTAACCTGCAGCAAGACTTCAACTTATATTCAGGCATAGAAGGACAAACAAACCTGGGGCTATCTCATCATGCCTGCAGCCATCTGATGCTAATATCTAAGTTCGCTCACCTCCCTGCATGAGAAACTTTTACCTCCAGACATTACTCTAAGCAACATATTAATACCTGCACCTCATGAGAAAACGAGACAAGAGAGCTCTGAGAGACGACTCTGCTGTGCAATAGGTCAGGCTGTCACTCCAGGCAGAAATAGATATGTGTATGTTGGTGTTGAACCTTAGTGGTTTTGTCAGCAGAGGTGGTTGCAAAGAGACATCCGTCTGGCGAAATGTGACAGGACAGAATAGCTCCCTGATGAGCCTCCATGTCCTGCAGTTTCTCCCCGCTCTCAATGTCCCACACCTGGTAGCGAGGAGAGGAAGGACAGATTATTTCTGGTCCGGTTTTTACACTGCTGGTAAATGTAGTGACAATTTCTGCATCTGTGTGTGTGTAGATGTCAGTTTCACCTTCACAGTTCCATCAAAGGACCAGGAGAGGAGCTTTGATTCATTTGTTGAGTCAGAGAGCAAAGAGAAACATCGGACCTGCTCCTTGTGACCCTGAAGCACTTTACACTCGCCTGATTTCCACCTCCACACCTAAATAGGATAATAAAGAGCAGTTCATCAGCTGGGGGTTCCTCCTACCAACATGTCTATTAATGACTTCTGTTATGATGTTCCTAAATTCAGGAAAAAAAAGGGGTTGGATTATACAAATTCTTCAGAAATGGCAGTTTTATGGATGGTGGGATTTTCTGGAACATAAGGCAGTTTGGTATTGAATTAAAGTTAATCTATAGCAATTTTGCACTATTTCATTGTTGGTTTTGTAGACATCTGAAAATAGAAATGAACCATTGCTTTCGAATGCAGAGCAATAGGATTACAGGGAACCACAGATAAATCTGGATGTTTAGATGCAGAGTTTGGTTTTGTTAATCAGTTTATTCTGCATGCACATATTCAGACCAGGGATTTTAATTCTAGGGATTTCTAAGAGTATAAAAACAAAGCCTTCACATGATATTATCGGTAATAAATCTATAATGTTTAGATCTGGAACCCAGAAGGAAAAAAAGATGGACTAAAAGCTTAACAAATGGATGAATGGATAACAGTTTATTTGAACGTAGAAAAGGTTTAAAACATCAAAACATATTTTTAACCTTTTTTTTTGCTTATTTATGCAGTTCTTGAAGCAAATTAATTAAAATTCAGTCTTTCTCCGCAGGAAACCTTAAAAAAAATACGCAACCAAAATATTCTATTGATAATTTCGTTGTTTTAGACACACTTTCCAGCTTTTGCCTAACAAAAAATTGTACAAGAGAAAGTTTTAATTGTTTTCACCCTTATGACGATGATCAGTCTTAAAACTTTACCCAAATATCTATTGCTGATAATCAGAATTAGATCTATATTTGCATATGCAGCCTAAAAGTAAACACAAAAAGCATAGATGGTGACAATTCTGAACTTCCAGATCAGCTGTATTTTGCACATCAGCAGATAAATCAGCAGAAACTGGGAAGCATCTGAACTCCTAGATGGCCAAGGCGAAGAAACGAGGACCGAGCCATCATATCCCGCCGCACACGCTTCCCTTCTTTCCCTCCTTTATTGGTCTGAAGGTTAAAATCCATCATTGGTTTCCATTTAAATTCACTTTGCATTTGCGTTACCATCTAAACACACACGTCCATTTCCTCATGAGCGCATGTCAAGCTGCATGAATCTGAATATTTTCTGAATAAGCAGCGGACGGCCTGAGAAGAGAGATGCTGCAGGCGGCAGCCGGATGAATACAAAATGAGGCGGCGTGTTGGTAGAAAGGGGGGTTGGAGTGCTGCAGTGGAGGGGGTCCGTGGGCAAAACCGAAATATGGAGACGAAAGGAAAGAAAGGGATGAGAGGAAAAATGAGCAGCAGAGCATAAATGGTGAGGTTGACAGAGCGGAACAGCCTCACATAGCCACACATACAGTATTCAGATATTTACTGAGGCAGAGAAGGGAACAAGAGGAAGAGCTGAAAGGAAAAGAGGAGAGGCCAATGAATAAGTTTAACAGGTGGGGGGGTAAAAACATCAGATGAATGAGTGAGTGCAGACGGTATTTTCCTCAAGGGGAAGGATTGGAATGAGGTGGGAAAACTAATCAATAGCTGGGAAGAAAAATTGGAAGCAAGTTGGGAGGGAGAAAATGTCCCATTAAACACAGGAAATTAAAGTCTGTGTGTGTGTGTGTGTGTGTGTGTGTGTGTGTGTGTGTGTGTGTGTGTGTGTGTAAGTGTGTTAGTGTGTGTGTGTGGAGGGGGATTGATGGAGAAGGGGAACAATTAGCAGGCACAACAAAATATGGGCTGAGCGTAGCCTACCCTTATGGTGGCGTCCTCGGATGAGGTGATGAGTGTTTGTCCGCCGTGGCAGAACTGGCAGTGAAGCACCGTCTTAGTGTGTCCCAGCAGAGTGGCTAAAAGCTTCCCAGAGGGAAGCTCCAACACCTGGAAGCAGCAAACATTAGCCCATCAAAGACTCATCACATCTGCCGCAGTTTGGATATGAAGGACTGGGCCACCTGAGCTGTACATGCTTGAGTCTTTTACCTAAAGTTTATGCTTCATATCAGACAAAAACAAATGTAAAATTTAATGGATCTATGATGATTCACCTGTTATATTACTTTTGCAACACACCAACTTTACTTTTAAAGCACTTATATAAAAGAAATAGGTTAAAAAAAAAGTTGAAAATAATTCCTTTTTTTGGATTTGTTTATGAATAAGAAAGATTTAAAAGGAAAAAAAAAAAGAAATACAGGAATATAAAAATAAAAGCCAGACTCTCAGAAGGTGGAACTTATGATTATTCTTTTGTTCTATAGTTTTTATTTTTGTTTTAGTCAAAATACTGTGAAATAGTGATATTTTTACTACAGGTTATAATACAGTATGAACTTGATAATGGGCCGTATCTGAAAGCTCATGCTTACAAGCTATTGTGTAGAAGTCATTCTGATGCTTTCGAGTGTTTTAAAGCCAAGAAGATTTTGTTTCAAAGCTTTTAAAACACAGATTTAACTCGGTAAATATCAATTTATCGAAACATTTCTTATAATTTCATCACGATTATTGTTTATTGTTAAAAAAAGATCCTCATTAGCTGTCACCAAAAGGGGGGCGTCTTCCTGGGGTCCACAAGACAAAACAAAAATCGCTTAACAATTAAACAATTACTTAAAAATCAAACATTACAGACATTGTAATAGATGTATTTAGAAATAATTCCAATTAATTATTCCATCCATATCCATTACATTAATAAGAATTAATTCACATTAATTTTCATCGTTTTTAAATCTGCATTAAACCCTTTAATGGTTTGCTCTACATTTCTCAAGGCTTTTTCTTTTCTCTCAAATGTCTATTAATGTGGTGATGAAGCCTGTCAATGATTGATTGTCAAGTCATCTTTCCTGTGAGTGTCTCCTCATGAATGTTTGGATTTTCTCCAGGTACTCTGGTTTTCTACGACTTGGTGGTGCTAAATTTAAGGATGGCTTACAGTTCTTATAAAACTGGGTGCATCCGGGCAGCTCAGACACCTGGAGTTGTTATCAACAACTCTGCTGGTAGCAGCATGATCTGGCCAGTCAGTTTAAAACTCAAATATCTGATATTTTTCCTTAACTAAACTATAAAGCGACATCTATGTTGCCTCTGAGGGAAGAAGTCTGCAAGTTAACCATTATCAGTATAAGTGAGGAACTTGAAAACGAAGTCAAAGGAAGCCCAAAATCTGTAAGGACTTAATTTCAAAGGAAATCCCTTCCTACTGAGAGATTTTGGCTTTTATTCAGTTCTACTGCTTTGCTGTTATACAATAAAGCTTCTGACAGTTCACTTCCTGTTTCAAAGTTTCCTATTTTTATTCTTTTAGGCTTTCAACCACAGTCTGCTGTAGAACATGCTAGTTTTGGAAATGTTAGAGGCCTCAAAGTTAATGCAGCTTTTCTTGGCAGCGAACACACAAAGTTCTGCTTGGAGTAAGCATTACTAATCTAAACTCAGGACCCAAAGTTAGCTTTAAATGTTACAGTAACTTAAGGCCAAAACACACCGAATCCGATTTTGCGTCTGATCCGACAGAAAATCGTGCCGGCGTGGTTGTGGCGTTTAGCGCTTATTGAAAGTCAATATGGATGATCACACCAGGCGCGATTTCATGCAAGTGGGCTGCGCAAGCCCAACTGAGACAGACCTCAGGTCTATTTAAGTCGGACTATGCAGCAATTCAGCAGCATTTTCATGGGTCTGACAGGAAGGGAGATGTGGTTACAAATTAAAACACATTCGCTTTGGGGGAAATAGAAAATAAAATCTGGTAATCACAGAGGAAAACTGCCAGTTTTGGAATCGCACATCACGTATATAGTGAGCCAGACAGATTTGCGCAAAAAAAAAATTATGAAACATTAAAATTTATAATATAGGAATATTAACATTCTATATCTGTTCTGGTTCAAGATGCTGCAGAGACTCATTAGGTGGGGCTTTGCTTTATAGATTGTATAATTTTTCATAATATGTCCAATGTAAATGTGGGTTATTGTTTTACTTTATATAACACAAAGACAATAGTAAAAAAAAAAAAAAAAAAAAAAAAAAAAAAAGACAGATCTGCCCACCCCGCCTAGTCGGAGCCTCTCTTTACGCAGTCAGTAGAAAAAAAAATTTTAAATAAATGGTATAGGGAATGAAAAAGTCGTGCGTAACCGATGTGTTCAGGCCTTAGTAATCATTTGGTCCCAGTTTAAAAAGCATAGTAAAATTCTGCCTCTGACATGAACTCTGCTTAAGAAGGCTTGCAGCAAAAATAAAATGTGTACATTTTTTTTTCTTTAAGGAAATAACCTTACAATAAAGTTTCTTTCCATTTAAAGCAGAGAATCTATGCCAGTCATGTTTAGCAAACAGTAACATCTGATATTAATTATTATTTGTTGAAGACGATTAATAAAACAGACTTTTATAAGTTAAAAGTGAATCAAACTATGCCAAACAGGGTGGGCTGTAAGCCATAGCTTATATAGCCTGAAGGATAACATATGGTCAAAAAGCCCCTTTGGCAGCAGAACCTCTGGTTCAGTTCCAAACTAACTGGACGTCAATCCACTGCCCTTCTTCCAAACACTTCTTGCCCATCTTTACTATATTTTTGGAATAAAATCTACCATCCAGTTACACAACTACCGTCTACAGCACATCACATGTGGGTCTGAGTAAACTAAGGAAAAATAAACATAACATTTCTTTGTTTCTACCAGGCTGTAAAATCTTCAGAACTCACATGAGAGGGTTGAAACGTCTGAGCAGACAAAGCCTAAGGCCATGCTGAGCCATTCCGTCAAACTTCAGGTACTGGCACGCAAGCTGCGCACAATAAGTGCGGATGCTGTGGGACGTTTCTAAAATGTCTTAGTTGAGGATTTCCAGAGTGACGCAAGAGAAAATACAACAGAGCAAAAAAGGATTTTACAAACAACCGTGGAAAAAAAGCTGCAACCTTTGAAATCTTTCACTGTCAGGTTAAACTTTAGTGTTTTACTGGGTTAAAAATCAGAAAAGTGAGCCTTGATATCTATTTGGCACCCATGAGTCAATTCTCTATAAAAACAACCTATATCTATGGTAACACTTTAAAATAACGCCCTACTTTGTGTTTAACTAACAAATGAAAGTAGTCCACAATAACGCTAAAGAGTCTTGGGTTGCACCATCACAAATTGTGAGAAGGCGGCCAATTTAAAGCAGGAAAAATTATAAATAGGTGTTTTTTAATTTTACATAAAGGTTGAAACAAGGTTGGAAGAAGTTTGTCCTTTTTTTTTGAGTTTCTCTATTATTAGTCTTTAAAAAAAAAAAAGCAAAAACAAGTCTGAGAATTAACTCTTAAATTGCCAAAACCAGAAGACTTTCTACTCTTTCTCTATCATACGATACCTGCACCCTGCCTGTGCACTGAGCTACAGCCAGCAACACCTCCCTGTAGGAGGTCAGCAGTCGACGGATCCTACAGCCAACTGTCCTCAGCACCTGTCTAGCTGTCAGCCCTGACACCTGCCACACAACACAAGATTCGTTCCTACTTACTTGAAGCACACAGGCACACTGTTCTCTGCTGCACTTTTTCACTAAAAGCTTCCTTTTTTTGTTCTTCAGCAGAACAAGCTGACATCTGAGAATGTCACCAGAAAATATTGCTAATTTTCATCTGGTGCATTGGTTATAAATGTGGCAGGATGAGGGAGGGTAAAAATGCAATGCAGTAATTTGTGGCCGCAGGACTCGATCAGAGGGCGCCACCTGCTGGTAGCAAATACAGACATAATTACAAAATAGAAAAGTAAATCTAATTCATCTTATATGAGAGTTTAGAGCTGCTAATAAATTTGTTTCCTGTTAAGTCTTTTAAAACATATTTTGATACATGAGCCTGATTCCAAAAACTGCATAAAATGTTCTGAAAAAGCAGGAGAATCACAGCAGTTTGAGTATCGATGTAACAGCCGCAGGTCTGAATCCTTTAATGGAAAAGTTTTAAGTTTAATTTTCTTTTTTTCCTGCCAGGAAAAGGTTCTCGCCTCTCCAAGGTCAAAAGATCAACCATCCGGGCTCCTGTTTCATTAATTGCTCCATTAATTATCTCTAGGGTCAGGAGCATGGAGAGGGGGACAGAAAGTTCCAGAGAGGAAGAGTAATTAAAATGCGGAACGTCTTCAGGACCTCTTAAATAATTAGCACTGCTCTCTGCTGCAGGACGCTCGCTATGTCACTACATTCCAGTCTCAGGAGACTCTGCCTGCAGAAAGGTTTTATTAAGAGGGTTAACTTTGAGGGGGCGTCCAAATGGGCGAACCCAAATGAACACAAAGAGCCACATACAACACTAGGATTCTAATCACTGCAAACAATGATGGCTACACAACAGCATTTGGGAAACAATAGGTGCTGAAGTTCAATAGCTGCTCTGCAATAGCTGCAAAAACTCTTGGCTAGGTGCTGAAACTTTTTCAGAAAAAGAGACAAAGTCCAGTTGCCTCCGATTTAAGCACGCTTCAAGGCTTCTTTTGAAACTGGATGCCAAGCAACCAGATCTTATTATACAAAACAGTTGTAGAATACATACCGATCAGTTTATGCAGATTCATTTTCCATATTTAGACAGAAGTACATACCAAAGGTGTAGATATAAGCAGTCTAATTATTGTCCTGCTAATCATTCACCTGCAATTCTCCATTCTCTTGTCCAAGCAACACCGCGGATGGATTCCTGCACAAACACGTACATCGGATCCTAGATGGCAACTCTTCCGACTGGAAAAGAACAGATCCTGTTCTGCCGTCCCGCACCTTTGACACAAACAACACAGGATAATAATATATCCAGGCACAGCTTAGGTTGGTGTAAATCAGTTCTCCTCACTGCTCACCTGCAGTCTGTTGCAGTTGTCTGCAGCCGATACGATAATTTCCTCATCATGAAAAATAACATCTGAATCTCTCTTCAGGCAGATGGCTGAAGACGTGTGGACCTTCTTGGTCTCCCATAACTGCAACACAGTACAAAACAAATACATGTGAAGCCTTATTTGATCTTTCTCCATGAAAGTAAAGCAACCATTTAAATTAGGTCAGAAACTGCCCCTAAATGTGTCCTTTTATTTACTGTGGCCACAGAACAGCTAAATTCTGCTTCTGCTGTTCAAAAGTTTAAACTGAAGAGCTCCTTAAAGATCTATTTCTACTTCCATGAAGATGATAAATTAATCCTTTATTAGGTTTTTAAAAAACTTTAAGTATATATTTTTATCTTTTCTTTTTTGAATTTTGTAATTTTACTAATTTATCACTCCAATTTGGAGGCTTTTTGTTTCATAAGGTTTAATGTTTTTTGTGCCGACTATAAACTTCACAGTTTATTTAAGTCAAGCTGAACTGATAGTACAGATGATAAAATAAAGAAACAAGCAAAACTTGTCAGTTATAGTTGGTCTACGTCATTATGAAATAGGTGGTGATGGTAAAGACTAAGAGAAGAGAAACATTTTCTTATCTGTTGTAGAATAAAAAAAAAAAAAAAACAGACGTAAATTTCAAGTTTAAACACCCAAAATAATAAAATAGTGAAGGTTCTACACCTTTTTACATTAACGTTACATAGCTTTCTCAAACGAGCAGAGTACTCAAGCCTTTTTCTGTCATATTTAAGAATAAATACAAATGTTCACAATGTTTTATGGAATATATTTCTACAAAGGTCAGACTTTAAATATTAAACCTACCAAACCATAGAGAAGAAGCAATGCAAGAAAATGTGAAGAAAAGGGAAACTCTTCTGGCTTATTCTCAGGTGGAGTCCAAAGAACAGATTCCCTCTTTGATATTTAAGAAAAGTCATTTGGAGCACCATCAATTGACCAGATTCTAATAGCCCACTTCTCTCTTCTTCGACCTCAGAGTTACAGACACCAGCATATGTAATGTTTTAAATACGAATGCTTAAAAAAAAAAAAACAAAAAAAAAAAACACAGGCCTGACATCACATCTTTTCCCTGAAAGGTATCTGCAAGCATTTAAAACTGATTAGTAAAATGCAGTGAGACTAAAAAGTTGTTCAGTACACATAAAACACCTAACTATCCAGCTATGATGGACAAACACCACGGAGCAGACTGTGGGATGTTCCAGTCCGCTCATTAACATTTAGACAATGAATATTAAAGTATTTCTCAACATTGTTTTATTTTCAGACCTTAAAAAATATCTAAATCTCTTACATTATTTTGTTTTACTCTATTCCAGGTTACCTTGTGACGCTCAGTAACAATAAAACTCTGATCTAAATATCAGACACCAACATCACTAACTTAATCTGACCTCTGTTTCACCATGGAGACGCGTCACGTATGAAAAGTCTCACCCTGACTGTCTGGTCGTCGGAGCAGGAGAGAAGCTGTGAGCCGTCACTAGAGAACTGAACCCGTTGGACCCAGCTCAGGTGGCCGCTGCAGTCGGCCATCTTTTTGTTTTCTTCCAGATCCCACAGCTTGAAAGAAAAAATAAATAAATAAAAAGTAATACTTCCAACTCAGACTTTTTTTACTTAAAGTTTTATAAAACATATCTAACATGCAACATATTCACAATACCCCTTCATTTAAGTATAAAAGGTTAAAAATAAGCCTAAATCATTTGCAATAAAGCAACTTTTTATTAAGCATATTTAACAGAAAGTGTTATAAAAGTGTTTTAAAAGTATAGTGGAGGATGTTCTTTTTCCAAGTTGATCATCAAAATAATTGGTCCTCTAATTGTCAATCATTCTTGTGATATGTTTACATAACTATGTTCTCATTCCAATTTTGAGTCTGACAGTGAAAAAAGTGCAAATCTTTTGGAAACAGGAACTTTTAATTATAGCGTGCATGAGGAGAAATGGGCTCCTGCATGCTCTCACATGCGTTTAATATCTTATACAAGATATTGTATATCCTTATACAATTTCCCGAAGGGAGTAATCCCAAGGGATTAATAAAGTCAAGTCTAAGTCTAAGTCTAAGTCTAATAGGCGTTCCCTCTCAGGAGCGGGTACAGGGTTGTGCATGTGCATTTTTTAAAATAAAAGTGCAGAGGGCAGGTCTTTTCAAAAATCTGAGAAAAATCCATCGCCCTACCTTCAATCTAGAACAATTCAAAAGGTTGGAGAATACAGAGAGGATTATTTTTTGTATTCTATCTTACGGCACCAAACTGCCCTCTAACAGGGTAACCAGGTCCCTGAGGGGCTTTTCCCCAAAACCTTTATGCAGACACCCCCTAAATTCTTTATCAACAAAAAGATCAACCTTAGTATTATCTGATCAAAGAACATAGTTTCAGTTATTGTCCACAAAGAGTTTAGAAAACAACTTCTGTCTAGATGGTAAAACAATGTGGATTTATCGTCTTAAACAAATCTCTTTTTTAGAGGAAAAAGAACAGGATGCCAATTTAGTGCTTGGACATATGTAGATGTTATTAAGCATGTAAGCATTTTACCTCCACAGCATAATTAGAGAATGCTAGTGCCAGCAGGTTACTGGTAGGACAAGCATGACAGTATTGGACCGTGCTCAAACGATTAGTCCTGATCTCCAGCAACATGTCTGACGTCTGGACATCAAACACCTAAGAAACAGGAAGACAACATATCAGTGTCTAATCTCACCTTAGATTTTATTCCATTTAAAGTGAAAACATACATGACATTAATCATAAAATGCTTAGCAGGTGTAAATTCACGTTGATTTGCATTCAAAGTTTCTCATTTTCGGTTTAACTCTCACCAAAACTGCATTTCTGGCGGCACATATGATGCGTGTCCCGTCGCCGGTCCAGGTGCTGCATTTGACAAGCACTTCCTCATTTTCGCTTTCTGAAAAGAAGCTCTTCACGTCGATCGTCTTCCATTCATTGGCTGATGACACCTGGAACAACTGCATTAGCAAGCATACTGTTTGTTAATATAAAACGACTGCAAAACGATCAAAGCTGTAAGCTGAGCTGAAGTGGTCCAGTTTTGAGATATTTTAAAGGAGAAGTCCGGTCATATTCAGAATTCAAACTTGTGAAAGTACTTTAAATATGAAATTATTACATACTGTTCAATAAATGATAAGTGTTTTTAATCAAGAGTAATTTTCATTTGAATGTGCTTTACTGGAGGCATCCATGTTTGTCAAAGAACACTACTGCCACCTACCGTTTGTGACGTCACGGTGCGGTATCGGCTGTTGATCAAGTCCCAGTGCTGTATCTAGTGTTTGTCACAACGCACTATTATCTAAGTCATCTTAAAAACATTTTTCTTCTAAATGTTGGCTAGATATTACACGTTTTTTCTCTGGCCGGAAGTTCGATGGCAAATCCTCCCTCTTCAAGTTGGCAATCCAATGACGAACCCGTCCATGGAGGATCATGAATCGGAAAGGTGAAATAACTAATTTTTTCTTCACTTTTACACAATGTATTACAACATTCAACTGCCATTCATGTGGGCATTGTCAGTTTAACTATAGCTCTTGCAAATATCAATGGTGAAGCAGATGTGTCTAGTAGTTCCCATTGATTTTGCTTGTAAAGCGGGGAGAATGGCGCTAGGCTTATCGCACCATGACATCACTGCCGGAAGATGTCAGGAGTGAGGGGTTACTATATTTGGGCAAAAATGGCCGCTCCCAGACTCTGTAATCATGATGAAAATTATATTATTATTTTTTTTATTTTTTTAACTGATTAATGCAAAATTCATTAAATAAATAAATGACCCATTGATTATTGCTTGCTGACCGGGCTTTTCCTTTAAGATTGAATAGAAATATCCACCTTAACGGTGCCGTCATTGGACGAAGTGGACAGATAACTATCATCTGGGGAGAAACAGCAGTGGTTCACTGGCTCAGAGTGACCAAACAGTGTGTTCTGGGAGGACGGCTTGTTCAGATTCCAAATCTAAAACAAAAGAGTTTGCAATGTGATCACTAAAGTAAAAAATAAATACATTAAAATAATACAAAGCTTTAAGGAAACCAAAATATAAAATTTCACCTTTAACAAGCTGTCGTTTGAGCATGTGGCCAGTAGGAGGCGCCGTGTTGTGTTGGTAAATTCACAGTGGTTGACCTGCTCCTCATGCTCTTCAAAGACCCTCAGTAGCTTGCCTTGCTGTATGTTCCACAACTATAGAAGATCATCCAAAATTTAAATGGACCCTAATTCGCAGCATTTTACTGCTGTCACTCATTGGCTGCGTTCATATAGTGTGTCGCACCAGGCCTGAGCCCCTCACCTTGACTTTCCTGTCGCTTGAGCAGGTTGCTAGAAGACGGTCATCGGGGGAGAAGGCGCAGCAGAGGACTTCTTCATCATGGGCCTGGATCTCTGAGAGTTTCTCACCAGAGGTGCTTTTAAATACCTGAAATCACAAATATATAAAGCTTTCGATCAAAATCAATGGAAATTAAATTTTAATTCCCAAACCACAAAATAAAAAAATTATAAACGGCAAAGTCCCAAATGACTGTGAGTAAACAAATAATTAAATAAAAACAAAACTAGGGATTGTTTAAAGATATTACATTTTTCTGTTATCAGCTTAAAACATTGTTTAAAAACTTGCACAGAAATATTACATATTAAAGAGGAAAGTTTTAAATAAAAAAGAGAAATGAATTAAGTATTAAATAAATACATCAGCAACAGATATATAGCATGATTTGAATAAATATAAGTGATGAAATAAATTAACTAAGCATGCAAGGATTGTGATAAAATAAATGAATGAACAAATAAAACGACCAAAATCAGACTTTTAAACATAAATATATGTAAATATGTAAAGCAAAACACAAATTAAATATAATTACATTTAGAAACCAATATTAATGAAATAAAAATCATATTTTTTAAGGTGATTATTTGAGATAAAATGTTACAGAGACAGAAAGAACCCAAGATAAACAAATTATATATATATACATTTATATTATTAGGACATTTATCAATGTTTAGTATTTTTCTTTCTATATTTCTGTTCTACTTCAGACATAAACCCTTATTGCTTTCTGCCTGCAGATACCTTCAGCGTCTTGCTTGCTCCACAAGAAGCGATTTTGGTCCCGTCGTGAGAAAAGCAGGCGGAGTAGATGGAGCCCAGGTGAGGGTGAATTACCAAACGGGACAAATTCTCCACACTGCTCTTATTTCTGTAATGATAGGCACACAGACAGCTCAGAAAAACAGTAACAATAGGGTTATAACTTACCACTCTTAAAGCTACAGTGTGTAATTTTCAGCGACATCTAACGTCCAGACTGCAGACCGCAGCAACATGAACATCTCCCCCCCACCGCTTCTCCCCCCCAACAGTACGGTGAGCGTTACGGGACAAAATGTCTTCCACGACGTCCGCATCACCTACCTTCTCAAGTGATGAGGTTTGTTTACATAGATAATTTTACAGATAGTATTTATTAGTATCTATAGTAGTATTTAGTATCTATTGTTCAGTAACGTCTCAGTTCATCTCTCTCAACTTGCCGTAGTTACTTTCGAGCGTAATGGGCGATCTCGCAATCGCTAGTTTGTTGGCTCTGCGCCGCCGTAGCGCAAAGATGTCTGCCTCCATGGCTGCGAGACCCGCTCCTATGTAATTATAAATAACGAATTCTAAGGCAACGCAAATATTAAGGTTAAGAGGCTGAGCTCTTAGCTGATGATAAATAACATAGTTATGTATAATATATTACATTTCTGACTGTATATCCCTGTAATTATTACACACTGTATCTTTAATGATCAAGTAATTAACACTGCTTACTTACATTAATTCAAAGTAGAGCTTCCCACTCTTAGCCCGGTTCAGAGCCTGCTGCCGGGCTTGTTTGTAGACCTCTGAGGAGTGTGGCTGAGACAAAGCGAGCTGCACCACGTCAGGGAAAGGACGCTGCTCCAGGCGGTGGCCGCTAAGAGACAGAAACTCCTGAAACTGGCTTCGCACTTCACTGTTCTGGAGGAGGGGAGCAGAAGGGAGAACAACTTTAAAACTTACACAAAGACAGCAGCTAAATCTGCTATATCTTCCAACCGGTTTCATGTTTACTGACCTCTTGGTCCAGAATGGGTCCATATTCCACGTAGTCATTGATGAGATGGGCTGGTCCCATTATCTTGGCCTTGATGCAGACCCAGTCCAGCGAGAACATGAGTGAGTAGAGCTCCTTTCCGGGACAACAACAAAAAAAAAAATGACACGGTGAGGAAAATAAATACTAAAGAAGTTTAAGTGTTTTATTTGCAAACCTAAAACAAGTAAACAAACATGCTGGCTCAGGATCAAGGAAGATGATATCTACATTTTACCTGAGACAAATTGGCTTTAGCCATGTGATAGGTCAGAAACCGGATCCAGTACAGACATTCCTCATCTCCAGACATGGGAGGAGCCTCTCTGTAGTGATGCTGGTACTGGTGCACCACCTTGCTGTGGAGACTCTGAAATGTGAACATTTTTACAGTTAAGCTCGAAAAAAAAATGAAACTGTGGTTCAATCAGGTGTACTTCTATTCTAAATACTTAATGCATCTTTTTGTAAACAATAAATAATCTTTGGATGTCATTCAGCAGTGGGTGTAATCACCTGAAAGGTTTTAGCCATTTTAATTATTGCTCCGACTGCAGCTGGATTATTTCTTTTTTTATTATGGATTATTTCTTTTCTATTTATTCTCTTTGCTTTCCAGTTTGCAGACTGGTTGCGAGAAAAAGGCGTGTGTTACATCTGCACAACATCGCCAACTACCCAAAGTTACACTGTAATTAACACACCATTACATTTAGCTAAATAGAAATGGTCAAATAAGTAAGTCAGGGAAGCGACATGAACAAACAAATAAAAAAACAAGAATATGTTTAAGCTAGTTTACAAATCAAGTGCTAAATGAGATGATTTTTTTTTCTAGATATTACAGGAGATCAGGTAACGGGTGGTTGCAATTATCTCCAATCAATAAAAAACAAAAAAACATCAAACTGCAGTGAAGACTCTCATACTGAAACATGGAAAACTTTCTTCTTTTTAGAGAAAAGGCAAGCAGGAATTCCAGGATTTACTGGAAAAATCCAGTTTTAAGAGAATGAAAGTTGTTTTTGTTATACTATAATCACTTTTCTGTGTTTTTTTTGCTCAAACCTATATGATTTAAAAGGGTAATCAGTTTACACATAGTTAATGCATTTAACATGTATCAAGATCACCAGGTTTAGCTGGCAGATGAGGTTTTATGATACACATAACAGTATTTTTTAACAACCTTTGTAGTTGTTGGTTTTTCTTTAAGTCTACATAAGACATTTCATGGTGTTTAGGGTGGGAACAGCAAGTTTATAAGTGTGTATATGCTTGCAAGTGTCCAGGGCCTTCTACAACAGCGTGCTGAGGAGGATACAGTGACAAGTTCAACTGTTTCTAAGTTAAAGATATTTGAATAAAAATGTTAATGATGCAATTTGATAGTTAAATGCTACTATTCAGTTGTTAGTAGATAACTTGGTGTTTCTAGGAGTTGTATCTATTTTTTTCCTTTTATATATTTATATTCTTATTTGTTGTTTTTTTAAAGCAAAGTTTTCTGAAATGTAAATAGTGCATAATAAATGGATGTACCTGCAGTTGAAAATAAAAGAAAAAAATTTAAACAAACAAAAGATTGACTCACAGATTATTCCATTCATCCTATGTAGCTGAGAGCAGACTTTATTTTGGATACGTGTAAATGTTTGACATCAACATATGTGGACTACTATATAGGCAAATATATTACTGCCATCCACTCAATATTACTGTAATATTAATAAAATGTTTAAAAACTGTAATATATAATTCTACTTTTATTAATGGTGCAATATGTGTGATTCATGACATGTTGCAACTAACATCTCATTCAGATGAAAATTATGAAAAATTTAATCAGCTTTTTTTTTACTATTAACAGACAGATGCATGTTTATTGTAGAAATTTTTGATTTGTCTAACCCCAACCATCTCTGAGTAAGCGAGTTGAATGACAAAAGCATTTCAGCTGTCCCTGATCTTCCCCACTTGTTTCTGCTAATCTCAGGTGTTAAGTTTTGACATGTTTGAGAGAGGGAAAAAAAAAAGGGAAAAAAACCTCTATTTGATTTCGGTAATGCTCCACCAGGAAGTCCAGCTGCAGGTCATGAAGGTAGTACAGATGGGGTTTAGAGTTTCTGTCTACAAAAAGCAGAGATTTGTTGACAAATTCTTGGAGAATGTCCTCCACCTCCTCTGGCTCCAGATCCCATAAAACACTCAGCACCTACATGAAAAGACAGAGAGAGACTTCCTTTATTATATGGTTTTTTAATGAGGGTCAATATTTCCCAAATTCTGGTTGTTGTTTTTATTTTAACCCATTTCTCTACAGATTGGTGTACAGTACAACCCAGTCTTATGAAAGAAACTGGGCCAAGTCACCATGAAGGTTTAAAAACGTCTCGCTAAAGTATTCAAACCTTTTTACTTTCCTTCTTTGTTGTCACTTTAAAACCTCCTATATTAATTTTTTCACATATTTATAAGTATTTTTTGTCTTTAATATTTTTCGCTAACTCATTCTAACCAAGGTGTTTTTTCAAACTGAAATAATTAATTATTAATTCAAAATAACCCACAGAGAATAACAGTTAACCACATCACATAGCACAAATGCAAAAAAAAATCAAGATATGGCCATGCACTTAAACCGACAACCAGGAAATGATACCATGAATCAGAGGAAGCAGCCAAGAGGTCTAAAGTCTAAAGAGGAGCTGCAACGATCTATAACTGAGGTGGGTGAAGCTGGTGGACTTCACGCAGCAAGGTTGGATTTCTAAAGAAAAAAGCAACCTTTGGAAGAAAGCCATTCAAATTTCTGTTTGCAGCTTTCCATAAGCTTTATAGCAGAGACCAAAACCATGCATATATTTTACAACATTATTCAATTGCAATAGCAGAAATGGTTATTCAATTGCAATAGCAGAAATGGTTAGTCAATAGGAAAATAAATATAACTAGATTCTGAACAATACTGAAAGAAATATTTGTGGCTGAAATTTCAAGAAGTATACAAAAACATCTGACTTTTTTGTTATAAGTTTCCATTTAAATTTTGTTCAGAGATTCTGTTACAAAATTTAACAGAGAAAATAACTTAAACATATAGCATGAGTCAGATTTTTAACTATAAAAGGGTTCATATTTAGCACAAAATCAATTAAAAGAAATGTTAGTGTTTGCTGTTCGCATTTAACCACAAAAGGCAACAGCTGTGTGTTATATGGAAAAAAAACCTTTGCAGGAATCTTGACATCCTTTTCCAGCACAGTCAGGTCTTTGTAGAGCTCCCGATGCTCATCTGGTAAAACCTCGATGCTTGCAGCCATGGCCTGATCCAAAGCATGATAGTCATACGATGTTGACTTCTTTATGCGCTTAAACTGCTTCTGCTGCAGCTGGCGGAGGTAGTAAGGCCAACGGTCGGGTTTCTCTTTGAGCAGAGCGCCGATCAGAGACACCACCAGAGGAGAGCCTGGGCAGTGGCAAGAAGCACAATTTGACTTAAAAATCTCAATTTAAGAGTGAATCATATGGAACCCTGATGTGGGAAACAATATATACTGCGTGCCCAAAAAATACTTACTAATTAGATCCAACAAAACACTAATTCATGCACAAACTTTGTCTCACAACATACTTTGCAGCCACAAGAAATACTGATGCAGCACACCTTCTGTAATGTTAGAGGAATTAACCAACATGATAGTTGGATGGAGTTTTACTATAGAACTATTGTTTTTTTATAGAAGAAGCGCACCATATTTCTCTTAATCAATAAAAGGGGAATACTAATAATCCTAGATTTCTTTTTAATACAGTTGCCAAACTCAGCCACAGCCATAACTCTGTTTAACCGTTCATCTCCCCTTCTCTTAGCAGAAATGAGTTTATGGGATTCTTTATAAATGAAATTGATTCTATAAAAAAAAAAAATAACACTATTAGCAACCCTCTAAATATGATTGGTTAATCTTTGGAAGGTGAGGCAGCATCTGAGGTAATTTTACAACCTGAACTGGGTTTGGACTGTTTTGATCTAGGGCCCTATAATTTCCGCGATCACGGAATTGCGGAATTGGCAAATTAAGGTGGAATCTAGTGTAAACGCGGAATTTCTACATTGGACATGAAATTCTGTTTTTGTGTGGGAGAAGACCGTACGTCGGGGGGAAATGCACACTGGGGGACGCAAATCTGGGTGACACAACCCCTCCAACTCAGCTTCCCCCATCAAAACATTGAAAAAATGGCGAAGTGGCTCTCCACAGCTCCGCTTTCGGCGAAAAAGTTGAGAAACACTTGCTTACATACTTGCTGTATTTTGCCTTGTTT